TCGTTACAGCCATGGTACACAGAATCTTTGAATGAACAGCAGGTAAACCTTGAAACAGAGGCCATAGTAGATGAGGGTCCACAATGAGTGTCACTCCTGTCAGCTGAAAACAGTAAACTGAGACAACATTTCACACAGGCTCACCAAATTGTTGCTTGTCTTGATGTGTCTCGATTTCTGCTGCCACACTCGGTTAGTAGGATCAAAATTTGGCACAAAAGACAACAAAGCATGGATCCATAATGCTTTGTATTAATGGTTTAAGCTGCTGCTGGTGGTATAATGGTGGAGTGGATATTGTTTCGCACACTTTTGTACCAATTGAGCATTAAATGACAAAGCTTGTTACTGACCAGTTTCGCCCGTTTTGACCAGAATGCCTCCATCCAGCAGAAAAGGGCGTCACAGTGCTCAAACGAGCTCAAACTGCTTTCTTGAGCATCAACACAATAGTCTTTTTTTTTTTAGTTTTTGAAGACAACCGGATGTTTTTCAATCTGAAGACAAAAGGTGGCAGCAGAGATCGGTTATAAACCACTGCAGACAAATACAGCAGGCACTTTTTCAGTTTTATAGTTCACACAGCAGTGGGTTCACCACTTAATTGGTCAATTAAACCTCTTCTGGGGACTAATAAGCTCCTTTTTTCTCCACTTAGTTTCTAGGAGCCCGTTAGAATAGAAATAAAATGCATTTTTGTTTTCTTGCATTTAAACTATAAATTCATGTGCAAGTTCAGCATAAAGAGAGGTGCAATCCAGAATAGGTGGAGATATGTGAATATGCATATTTATTATGGCCTAATAATTTGGTTTGAATAAAACTTGGCCTTTCTGCTGTGCACGTTCTCCTTCATGATAAAGTACAAGTCAACATGAATACACTCTATATGCATCTGTGCCCGCTGAATGAAGGAGGACGCGCAATAAGCCTGTTTTTAATGTTACAAAGAAAGAAAAGAGACACGGAGGAAAGAGGTTAAACCTCTTGAAGATGTGTCATTGAACATCACAAGAACTAAGCAAAGGACACGGTTTGACAATATGTTTTGACGACGGAAGGGCACATGCGTATTATTAGCTCAGGACTTTATTTTTAATCATGTTCTTTCATGAGTGTACATCAGCTTTAATGTCTTACGCAAGAAACCATGTCATGGAAAAGATTTCAGATACTTCACTTTGAAGTACTGCCAGAAATGAAATCAGTCCCAGCAGCTTATTCGGGTTATTAAATGAATGGTTACAGTAATTTCAATTCTCCTAATCGAGCATTATATTTGAGCAGCATGTGCCCAGCACTGTTTCAGGCCCATGCATCCGGACCAGAGCTTGCACAGCAGACGCTACAATAAATCATTCCAGTTTTCTCTTTATTAAAAAAAAAGGATCTTCTGGCTACAAAGCGTATTGCAATTTGTAGCCCAGTGAAAAATAAATTCAGGATATGCTTCTCATAAGAGAATTAAAGCAGAAATCCTGCTCAGCGCGAACAATTCAGTCATTATTTGTGTTCCTGTGTTGACCTGGTAGAAACGAATAACCACGTGATTAAATTACAATAAAAAGGCTTTTACTAAACGTTAGAATTAGTCATTTTCAGAAAATCCAGAGACGCACAGCAATCAAAAAACAGTGAGATTTCTTTTTATTGTCTTCTCAACAGCCAGAACTTCAGTCAAAATAATAATTTCTTCTGTCATTCAGTAATCTGAGACTGTCTGAAAGCATTGGTTGTACATTGTTTCTCCTTAAAAAACAAACAAGAAAATCACACGTTACCAGCCAGCATCACTGGGTTTCACTTAAACACAGTACAAATGTGTTTCATAAAGTCTTGGGCCAAAATAACTCATGTATTACAGGCGCTACATGATTCACTATTAATCACTGAAATTCAGCTTTTACATTAACGTGGCTCTTTTAAAATGTCTTATTGTAATATAACGACAATTACAAATAATTCATTACAATTCGAGCAAAACAACTATTTCAACAATGGCTTCTTACAAAGAAAAAATAAAGATTTAGGTGCCAAAAATGCAGCAGTTAATTGTCGTCCCTATGTTTACATGCCGTCGATAGCAATCAATTCATACACAGTGAACAAACTTCTCATTGGTTAGTTTAAAATATTTGTCTTTGTGCAGACAAACAAAACAACTTCACGTAAAATTGCCTTTTTTTTCCTTTATTAAATCGGCCCGCTGTGGTTCTGCTCAAAGTTTCACGTAGACTATTGGGAAACTGTAACACTGCATTGTAAAAGAAAGAGTTTCCCTAACCTGGAGAGATATTCACCCTCCTCTTAAAGAAAATGCTTCGATGGGGAACTGTGGCAGCACATAGTGCTTGTGGTTCAGTTAGCTCCGTTTGGTGGCCCCTCTGGGATGAGTGACATGAAAAAGGTTATGATGAATGACCACGTGGAGGACAAGAAGCCTGTGTGGGGGGCACTGTTAGGATCTTCCGCTCCTTCCTCTCCGCTTTCCCCATCCTCATCATCAGAACCGTCATCCAACACTCCTTCCTATACGGGGGAAGTCAAATTACAAGAATCAAGTGAGATTATAGTTCTCCCTGACGCTCAGTGCACAAGATTAGGCAAGAATATATGAGTCATATTTGACTGTGAAATGAGATATCCACTAAATTAGCTTCAGGCATAACGCCCCACACTTTATCTGCATACTTAAAAAAACATTTCTTCATTCCCCTGTGAAGTCAAAACGCCATTTTAGTGTTTTTCGCTCATCTTTCCCTTCCACTAGACCGGCAAATTACATTTTTTCTAACATAATTAAAACAACAACATAATTAACAGACCATCTGAAATCAAGTAAATGTCAAAAAACTGTGATTGAACCCAATTGACCTCATTTTCATGATCTTTGTTGTTTTATTAAATTGAGCAATCTACAATAACACTGTTATGAGTTATTAAAGACAAGTGGTGTACTATATCCTTCAGCTATCTGGAAACTGATACTTCATTTCACAGCTTATACTGCAGATAAAAAAATAAATGATACTGATAACAATCCAATCAGTTCTGAGTAAAGCACCAGTGGATGAGAGAGACAGCTACCATTTCTTGTAAGTCTTGGTTTTGTGGCTCTCCCTCGGCATCATCCTGATTGCCTCCATCTCCGGGAAGCTGAAGTTCGTTCTCCAGGTTAAACGGAAACCAGCCGGCCTGATGCCTGCAGGCAGAAACAACAAGAAAAGAAATTACAAATGTTTCACAGTGTTGGTCATATCAACTTATTATTCATTATACTCTTGAGTAATCTTTGAGGTACTTATAGTGTGGTATGAAAATGACAAATCCCTGTCGTGTCTACAAAATATGTTTTGTAAAAATTCTAAGAGCCTTTAATGTTAAGATGAAGGCAAAATATATCAAAGTAATGCATTGTAAAAATCTAAACTTCTGTTGAGTCTTCATAACTTTAAAATTCAGGTACTTCTTTCCAGTTATATTAGGGCAAATACAACAGGGAATCTCGAATGTAGCGCCACGTGAAGACACAGGAAATCGCTCTAATCAGACAGCATTCAACCATTATGGCCTTCATTGTAAAGGCAACCATTTTTTAAAGATAAATGCTTTCCAGAGAAAAGCGTTTATCTATTGTTGTGAATTTCGATGTGAGATGAGACCGAGTATCACCCACAATTAGTGCCTTTTGTTAAAGTACAAATCCGAAAAGGCACTTACAAAATCATGAGACCCAACGATGCAGTAACAGAACAAACACTACTGTAAGTACAGACAGGCAGGATTTTCGAGTATTTGTTAGAGTATATAGAAAATAAATTCGATATTTTACGTGACTGTTTCTTACAATTTATCCATTTTCTTGTTTTTCCCTACGCCTGGAACGATGTAACATTCTGGTACCACGAGAAAGTAGCGATAAAAGCACCTTTGAGTCATTTGCCAGCCACTATATTAAACAATACCAGAATCCAACAAGATGTAAACTCTCCCAGTTAAAGCCACTGTGTCACCGTGCATGCTGCAAATACGCTTTATTTCAGTTTCAGAGTTTGAAGAGTGTTTTAGTGTAGTTCTGGTCACTGTATTGTAATGACGGGCATTTAAAACACATGCATAAAGTAAACTCACAGGTAAAGCACCAGCATGGCCATCATCACCATGACAAAGCGGCTGAAGGACGAGTAGAAGTAGACTATACTGAGTAAGATGGCAGCGCGTGAAAATGTGTACACCCAATCCAGCCAGTCCCGATTGAGCTCTTCCTCGTTCAGGATCTCCCCTCCTTGGGCATTCATCTGGACTTCTGGGTTGCCGTGGCGACCCACCTGGGGTCGTTGACTCTGGGGATGGGACTGGTTAGACTGGGTCGAGGGCTGGTCGGGCCTGAGGTGCTGAGAGGAGGCGGCAAGTAACTGACTAGAGGACGAGAGACAGATGGTGGTAACACTGTTTGAACACGGCCCTAAAAATGTTTTTGTTTTTAAATGGAGAGACTAAAACACAAATGGACTTACTAATGCATGTAGTACTGCCTGGCATACAGCTGCTGCCACCACATGAGTGTCATGGGGTTGTAATAAGCGGGCATATTTGCGGGAGGCATCGACTGAGCAGAGTGTTGGTTCCAGCTGGAAAAAGAGGAGCAATATGAAAACAGTGGCATTCTCCATTTTTGGAGAAGAGGTTTTAGTCAGAGCCAAAGGAAAAACATCAGCATTGTAATCAAGCTGTTAATACTGTTTATTCAGTCAAATATAACCAATGCTTTTGTTTATCAAATGGCCTGACATAACAGGAAAACACACCCTCACTAAACCAGAACAACTCATCCATGTGTAAACAACCTCACTAGGATTGTTGGGAGAAGTTTTTATACACTCAACATGACAACATTATATATCAGTAAATTTGGGTTTTGACTGATTTCTGCACAAGTTTTAATTTATTTGGGATTTTTTCCAATCTATACAGGCTCAAATATACACACACACTCAAAAAGCCTTTTTATAAGTGGTGCTGAAGGTTCTACAGTGTCTTTTACTTTGGCGGGGTCTGATTAATCATCATTAATGAGTACAGCTAGTAGTTTCTCTTTGCCAGCATAAAAAGGATTAGGATGCGAGCACTAATTTGATTGACAAAATGCACATTTGTAAAGTCCAAGGAACTCAGTGAAGATCTGAGAAGATGAACTATATATTTACACAAGCTGGA